CTTCGAGTAGCCAAGGTCATCATGGACAATTTTGTGTGTTGTCCCAACAAATAAGCTCAAAGTCCTTGCAATGTCATCCATTGTCACTGTCCGGGAGAAAGTAAGAATTGCCTTGGAAATCCACCATTTTAGCGATTAATCGATTAATAACGATTATCGCATCGAGTTTGAACGTTCCGGAATGTGATTAAAAACCACCTGACACCACGGCAAAAGATATGGGGAGCCACTAACCTTGGTAGTTGACCTTCCAATTCTAGAAGTCGAAGGTCAGTGGAGACCTATAGTTAAGTTCAAGCGGGACTGGAACGATAGGATTATCACGTGAGTGTTCCTTCTTCGGCGAGTCGTTGAACCAGGTTATCGAAATTAGCTATAATTGGCTTAAGCGACGCGTGCAAGTTTATAGAAAAGCGTACAGGTAGACATTTATATGGGAAATAAAAGCATTGCGACAAAATTGAAAACCCACCACCTGAAATAGTGACTTAGCATGCAAAAACGCGGTTAGTAAATCGAATGCAACGTACCTACAAACGCTGCGCTGGTTCTTTCTACGTTCTCCGCAGGACCTGTCGTCGCTTCGGTAGTGGTCCTGAGTGGCCTCTCTCATGGCTCACTAAGCCTGCCTGACTCAGGCACTCGCGACCGCATGTGCTACAGCACCATACGCTCGATGTCGATGGAGTACAACCCATCATCGATTGCCGCTTCCGCCCTTGCCGCTTCTTCTCTGCATGTTTGAGGTCTTACTCCCGCACCGCGGCAACTGTCTTCGTGATTAGATCGCGCCATGCACGCCGATCAACCGCCTTCGATTCCCATGACCTGCAATCAAGATTAGAACGTGAGGCTCACATTATTCATGCCCTGGTAACGTAACTTTGGTTTCCCCACATGCCGCTTCCCAATACTCAGCTGACCATATAATACTTCTTTCGGTATCCGCGTCGAATACATACGGCTCACATGACCGAGCCACCCCAGTTGTCTCAGCAAAAGTATGCAGTCCACTGCATACACTCCACTTTGTCGCAACACTTTCGTGTCCGCAACTCTGACGTTACAACCGATGCGCAAAATGCGTCGCAAGCACGGTTGATGGAACCGCTCGGGATATCCCACATCCCGCCGGGACATTGTTCGTTTCATTGCCGTATAGAAGAACGAATAGCACATTGAACTTGAACACCATCAGCTTAGTGTCAACGACAAGCTGATGGTTGTTCCACACTCGGTAATGTAGATTCCCGAATGCCGCCGCTGCCTTCGAGAAGCGGATGCGAAGCTCACTGTGCAGTTGTTGGTAAGTTGACATCACACTCCCATTGTGGCGGAAGCGGGAGGCGGTTTCCAATGCTGATTCGCGGCAATATTGAAGATTGCACCTCCAGTAAAGGCTGAAAGAGGCAGATAGTTTTGCTTGTGTTGGTGAGCCCGAATTTGGCCGCTGTCGAAGCCAGAGCACTAGTCATATACTGCAACTCATCCGCGCTGTGTGAAAACAACGTCAGCAAACAGTAACATACGGATAATTGTCTCAGACTACGATTGTCGCATCGAAGCGACGGATGTTCAGCAACCAACCATCAATACGGTGCTCCACACGAACACTGTCAGCACAGCCCACATCAAAAGCACAAGACATTATTGCATGAAGATAAATATGAAACAGGGCAGATGCTAAGACACAGCCTTGCTTCACACCAGAGACAACTACAAAGTCATCCGAGGTCTCTCCACACAGCTGCACCCTCGCTCACATACTACTGTGCAGAAATTCAATTAAAAGTACAAACTTACTCAGACAACCAAACTTACCCAACACCAGCCACAATGCCTCGCGGTTCACCGTATCAAATGCCTTGGTGAAATCAACGAAAAGCGAGTACAATGGCTGGTGTCGTTCTCTGCACTTCTCCTGCAACTGACGAGCCGCGAACACCATATATATAGTGCTGCGACCCGAACGGAATCCACATTGCTCTTCCGCCACGTTAGGTTCCACAACCTGACTGACGAGGCGGTTGAGCAGGATTCGAACAACCACCTTGCCCACAAAACTCAGCAAGTTGATGCCATGATAATTCGTGCAACATTGCTGGCACCTTTCTTCTTGTATAGTGGTAGCACAACAGCATCCTTCAGCTCAGGAGGCACCTCCTCCTCAATCCATACGCGTTGCACTAAATGGTGCAGCGCAGTCAACAACGAAGGTCTGCCGTGTTTCAATACTTCAGGTGGGATCCTCTCGGCTCCAGCACATTTGCCGTTTCGCAGCTGAGCAAGTGCTCTCTGCGTCTCATCCAGTGTCGGCGTGTCCACTAGACTCGTCTTCACATCGTGCCGCTCCAGGCAGTTCAATGTAGGCCAGTCGATCTCTGAACGGTTGTCCAAGAGACAGTCAAAGTGTTTCCGCCAGCTCTGCATTATGTCTGCAGTCTGGGTGCAGGTAGCGCCTGAACTACCATCGATCAGTGTCGTCAGAGGCTCCAATCTCGATCCATACACCGCCTTCATGGAGTCAAAGAATTCCTTGTGTTGGCGGCGTTCAGCGTAGCATTCCATCTGCTTCGCCTTCTCCGTCCACAATGCATTTTCAATGCGACAGAGCTCGCAAGTCAGTCGCCGTCGAAATTTGCAAAATTGAATATTCATAACCAAGTTACTGGGGTCGGCGACATGTGCAGCAAATGCCGCATTCTTCCCCGACACCAATGCGCCAATCGTCGAATTATTCTCAACAAACTAATCAGGACCCTTACAGTTTGCGCGCCCGAAGGTCTCCTCGACAGCAGCTGTCACCTGATGCCGAATGTGGTGGCACAGGTCGCCCACGATGGCTATGCAGTCCACATCACACAGGCGTGCAGCCATCGCCTTCTCCAGCTCAGTACGTTTCGCCTCAGTACCGAGGGAGAATGTCAAATTTATGCCGATTCACAGCGGTGTGGACCTAAAACATAAACCGCATCACACCCTGTCCAACCAATTAATGCCAGAGTATCCTGCCATAGCAGTTCCTGCTGGGCCGGCTACGTGAAGTAAGGAAAAATTGAACTCAGAAGGCAAAATAGAAAGTGGAAAGAGCAAAGCAAGTGGAATATCAAGATATTTGAGTCATTAAAAAAGAAATGAAAAACGAAGGTGAGTCAGCGAGGAAAAAGGAAAGCTTTTCTGTTGCCACCCAACAGCATCGATCTGGCGCGCAAAACCCTTAACCGTAGGTTCCCTGATCACGTGATATGGAAGCGAATTCCAGCGATCTATAACTCGGCGCGACAGACGAGTTTCCGTTCTAATCCTATCAGACCGTGGTTTATGCAGTTTCAATGAGTGACCGCGGAGATTAGGTAACGTAGCGGGACCAAATAGCCCTGATAAGTCCGGGCCAATCTTATCCGTCAAAATACGATAAGTGAGAATCAGGTCTCCTCTTATCCTTCGGTAGTGCATGGAGTATGTACCCAAATTGAGCAAGCGTTCAGGATAGTGAACTCGTTCGATTATCCCTTCAGATTGTAGTCGATTTAACTCGGCTTCCACTAAAGACTGGGTTGCGTAGGGCACCGGGCGTCTTGGTCTAAGGACTGGCTTGGCGGCTGGTTTAAGATTCAATGAGGCAGTAGCTATGTTTTAGCATCCGAGACCAGGTTGAAACAATGCATCGTGACGCCGTTTTATCTCGGCAATCTGACTTTGAAATATCGGGCTTGAAGGTGACGGTTGTGACATCAGATTGACTTGTGGTGGCTGACATATACTGTTCACCGATTGATCAAGCAGTTTCAGTTCATCCATCCAGTCGAGCCCCAACAAATCTAACCCCGGCTGGTCTGCCACGAAACATGTCGTCTGGATTTGTTTATCGCGGAAGTTTACCTGACAATTCAGTTCACCAAGCAATTTCAACGTACCTCCTGAAGCATTCCGTGCCGTGTGGTCCGTTTGTATGAGTGTTGGCCGCCCCAGCATGCACCAATTGTCTCGATATATCAGGGTGATATCAGAAGCCGTGTCGATTTGTAACTTGACTTGGAAGCCGTTGATTTCCACAGTTGTATATTTGCGCTTGCTGGCCCCGTCAACCTTGAATGTTGCGGTGATAGATCTGATCAAATTGGGACGCCGGAACGGTCTGGCATTGTTACGCATCTTCTTGGTCAAAATTGGACGAGTCGCCAAGCAACACGACTCCTTATGCCCTTTTCTGCCGCAACGGTTGCGAGTGTGAGTTTTGAATGGACACTCGCGGACAAAATACCACTCTCTACGAAACCAACAAGCAGTGGGAGGTTTAGGATGCGTTGAACTCACGTGGGAAGCTTCTTTTCGAGGAGTACGGCTGACTACACAGACAAAATCTTTCTCGTTCTGGTTGGACAACTGCCGTATCATTGCGGTCTCGTGTTTCAGATTCGTCATGCGTTGGCACTCACCGGTCACTTGCTGCAATGTGACATCCGGATTCTGCTCAATTTTTTTCAGTATTCGTGTTCGAATATCGGCGTCTTTGGATGCTTGTAGGCCACAGACGTATATGAGACATTTAAACTGATCACTTGTCATCTTGTGTAGTTGTGACCGTTCGCACTCTCGATTCACACGGCTGGAATAGTCGACCCAGTCTTCGTCTTCTTTTTTGTTATTGTCAGACACTTGTACCGGATGTTGAACAAGGATGTCTGTTCTCTGAAAATCTGCGACAGGACTGTAACCACTTCGTCGTAGGACGAATCGGTACTCTTTTTGAGTAAGATAAAATTGGTGAACTTCTCGTGTTCGGCAGCACCCAGCTTCCGCAGCATTAGTCGAATCTTCTTTTCTGCTGGAAGGTTGGCAAAATCAACCCGGAACGTATCTTCATACTTGTGGAACACCCCTCCCCCCACCCCCCCACCCCGCCCCCCCCCCTCCCCCCTCCACCGCCCCCCGCTCCCCCCACCTCCCCTCCCCCCCGCCCCACCCCTACCCCCCCCCCAGCCCCCACCCCCACCCACCCCACTCCCCCCCCCTCCCCCCTCTCCCCCCCCCCCCCCCCCCCCCACCCCCCCCTCCCCCCGCTCCCCCCCCCCCCCCGCCCCCCCCGGCCCCCCCCGCCCCCGCCCCCCGCTCCCCCCCCCGCCCCCCCCCCCCCCCCCCCCCCTACCCCCCCCACCCCCCCCCCGCCCCCCCCACCACCCCCCCCCCTACCCGCCCCCTCCCCCCCCCTGCCCACCCCCCCCCCTCCCCGACCCCCCCCTCCCCCCACCCCCGTCCCCCCCCTCCCCTCCCCCGCCCCCCCCACACCCCGCGCCCCCCGTGGACCCACCCCGCCCCTCTCCCCTCCCCCCCCGTCCCCCCCCCCCTCCCCCCCACTCCCCTCATCCCCCCCCCCCCCCCCTCCCCCCCCCCACCCCCCCCCCCCCACTCCTAGCACACCCTCCCCCCACCGCACCCCGCATCCCGCTCGCCGACCACTGAACCGGCGCACCGCCTCCTGGGGGCTGGTCTCGCACGAGCGCTGCTCGCGCTGCGGTCCCTCTGCCGACTGGGCTCGCCCCCGCCCCTCCTTTCCTGCGGGCGGCCGCTCGAACTGGCCGCCCGCGCCTCGCCCACCCCCCCAGCACCCTCGCCCCGTCACCCACCCGCCTCCCCCCGCCGCCCCCTGCACGCACCCCCCCCCCCCCCCCGACCACCCAACCAAAAAGTCAACGACTACCCCCGCCGCTCCTCCCCCAGCCCGCCCCCCCCCCCACCCTCCCCTCCCACCCCTACCCTCCACACCGCCCACCCACCTACCCCCTTCCCCCCCCCTCCACCCACCCCCTCTCGCCGACCCCGCCGCCGAAAAACCATCTCGACCTCCCCCCGCCCCACCCCCCCACGCCCCCCTCCCCCCCCCTGCCCCTCCCCGCCGCCCCCACACGCCGCCCCCCCCTACTCTCAGGAGAAAACCGCCCCCCCCCCACTCCCCTCCCCCTCCCCCACTCCCTCTCCCGCCGCTCAAACACCACAGGCAACAAACAAATGTTATACCGGCATCAGCGTCATAATGGAACTCACTGATCTGCTGAGTCAGGGTTTCTGGTGACGGGGCACCTTTACTTGTCGCTAACCCTGGGCTTGACTGCACTGTCATCTTCTGAGTTAACATCTCGATCAGCTTGGTTTGGGATGCTTCAAACTGCGCCTGTTGTTGCTGCGACAGCATCTGCAATTGTTCAAAGCTAATTGCCATGCCTGGGTTCGGTTGTACTCGCGTCGCCACTGTTGTGACGCTGTGCACACTCTCGCCTGGTTGATTCACGCCTGTTGCTAAATGTGCGCCCTTACGCGTGCTCTGGTTGACGCCTTGGCAAACCCGACCGGAACGAAGACAGAAGAACACTCAGCAGACCAGAGTTGTACTAAGGCAAAGAACGCTCATATTTATATGTCACTGTCACCAGGCGGATTTGGCTCTAATTCCACGCTCCACACCTACTTGTCCGCTGCATCTGTCCAATTCACCGTGTTGCTCGGGAACTCCAGTCTTCGTTCGCCTACCCGGCGCATGGCAACGCACGTGATGTCTGACGCTTGATTTCATCAGCTTCCGGTCTGGCCTTGGCAACACGCCTGGTGTCTGATCAGATTTCGGCTGGGCCCTGGTAACACGCTCGTAGACTCCTTCCCAAGCACG